ACAGGTGCACAGTACGCAGCCATTGATTAACTCTTTACTCCCTCAAATAGTAGAGTCTGAAGGGAGCTAGACTGTCTGGACATTCGGCAGAACATCACATTGATTTAATACATTAATGACATCTTGCTAATTGGACAAGATGCACAAGATATGGCAAGAGTGTTGAAAAAAGATCTCTGCAAGAAATATGTGCTCTAAAGGGTAGGAAATAAACCATATTAAGATTTAAGGGTCTGGGATATTCTGGGACTAGTGACATCTTTAAGGATCTAGTAGATGGGGGCTTCTGGGACTTTCTCACAAAAGAAAATGCCAAATTATTGCATTCACACCCCCTCCACCACTAAGCAGGGAGCACAGTGCCTAGTAGCCCTCACCCGTTGCTGGAAGAAGTGCATACTCCACTCTGGAATACTCCTCCAACCAGTCACTATGTGGCACAGCAGGCTGCCAGAGTTGAGCAGAACCAGACAAAGAAAGGGCCCTGCAGCAGGTCTGGCCTGCAGTGTCAGTGCACTGCCACTTGGACCCTGTGAACTGACAGATCCTAAGGTACTAGAAGTGACTGGTAGGAAAAGATGCCATGTGAGGCTTATGGAAAGCCTGAATAAGGAGAATCACAATGTAGACCCTATGTGTCTGGAGCAAGTCCATGGCAATAAACAGCTGCCAGTTTGGTCCTGGTAGAGAAGGAACACCTGATCACAGGGTGGCAATTGACTATGTGGCCAGAATTCCCCATAAAGATAACCATGGTAGCCATGGTGACAGGGATGGAGGCTATGCATGGGCCCGACAACACAGGTTCTGCTCACCAAGTGTGCCCTAACTTCTACAGCCACAAATGTCTATTCTGTCAACAACTGAGATCAACACTGAGGCTCTAATACTCACCATTCCTCAAAGAGATCAGGCACCCACTTGGTATCAAGTAAAATTACATTGGACCCCTCCCTCCCTGGGAGGAGGGTAAATTATCTTGATTGAAGTTGACGCATATTCTGGTAGTGGTGCCCTTGGCCACAACCACTACCACAGGGCTCATGGAATATTTGCTCCTCCCCGCCTGGAGAGAGCTGCCTTCCCAAGACACACACCCTCCCCAGCTGCAGCCCACATCCAATAACTGGCTGGTGCTGGGGTACGAAGACCTGCCCCATGCCTCTAACTGTGGGGCCATCCGAGCTGCAGATCTCCCTGTGGGGCCGGATGAGGCCTCTGACACAACCACATTGCAGTGCAGTACCTCACTCTGCCTAATCCACTGCCCCTCATCTCTTAAAGGGGCCATTCCTGTGAACATCTCAGTCAACCTCCTGAATGGAAATCTCCTTCTCAATGTCTTTTTCCAGGGAACACAACCTATGACAGGCATTCTCCACACTCGTGAAAAACCTAGAGGAAGACAGGAACGCAGCTTTCTGGATTTTGGAGAAAGGGTGTTTCATGTGGAGGACACAGCAGGTGGAGGGGACAGAGCCACCCCCGAGGAGGCAGTGAGTCCAGCTCGTTCTGGGAACAAGAAAGATGCCAGCATAGCTGGAGCTAAATGAGCAAGGATGGAATGGTAGGAGACGCCGTGAGAGGAGGGAGGGTAAAGTGGGGACAGCTTGTGGGAAAGAAAATTAGCTTCTCCTGTGAGAGAAAGAAGCCACTGGAAGAGTACGAACAAGGAGTTGCATGATAGCAGGCTTATACTTTATGAGAAGAGCCCCAGCTTCTGGGTTAATGTCAACTGTTGGGCAAGGCTACAGCAGGGGCCAGTTAGGTTTTTTTGCAAGGATCCAGGAGAGAGATGCTCTCCTACCACCTAAGGGGTCAATTTTAATATCTTCCATACATTACACAGAAGGGACTCAGAGAATCGGGCAACCATAAGAACTGGCAGGTAAGAACCGGCAGGTAAGAACCAAGGGCTGTAAGACAGAATCCTGTTGGGCTCTCCTTCCTCCTCTTGATCACTCCTCAGTGTAAATCAGCAGGAACTACTGATTCCTCTCGTGGGAACCCCTGCCCTGTCAGGGGCCAACATCTCAGCACTCAGCAGACTAAAATACTGAATGCCTGTTTCCAAGCCTGCTCTCATCACAGTGTGGTACCCACTGCGTGCTCATCGTGGGGGCTGGAACTCCATCACTTTTTTCCTTACATCCTCTTCTTCCGGGGAAAGGAGGACCAAAGGAATGCTTTTTGAATGAATGAACAAACTAATAAGTCATCTCTTTTCATCCCCACAAATGCTCTCTAAGGTAAGTTTCCTAATTTTCCCGTCTCACAGAGGAGGAGATTGAAGCTCAGGGAGGCTAAGTATCTTGCAGAACTGTGTAAAGACACGACCTGAACCCAGATCCAATTCCAAATCCCCACCTTGGTTTCAAATCATAGCCAGATGGGTAACAGAAGTACAAATATTTGGGGAAATGCTGTTGAAAATATTATTCTAAACTGAATATATATATATATATATATATATATACACATATATATCTCACACACACATACATACATGTATACTTACACACACAAGGTATCGCTATCTTTATTGCTTATATGCAAGATATAAACATGTGTCTTTATAGTACACATGCCTCTGTGTATGTCAGTTTCTGTTGCCAACGTTTCATGTACAGCATCTCATGAAATCCTACCAAATCTATGGTTGGCATCCCCATTTTAAAAACAAGGGCAGGGAGTTTGGAGAAGATAAGCAGCCTAACCTAGCATCTAGAGTCACAGAGTGGCTATGTGTGATGCTAAAGACCGATCAGCCTGGCTGCTGACCAGCATGCTTATTCTGACGTATCTGTGGAATGTTTCTATGTGCTGTGCTCTATAAGGATATGATATACTCATACGTATTTCACGCTCTATATGGGCAGGTTATATGTGAATCCGTTACATATGTGTGTAGCGATGATGTGCTACCATCAGCATGTAAGGTTCCTATTTATCTGTTTAATGAAAAGGGACTGTTTGTGTCCTAAAGTTCAGATGCTGAAGCCCTCGCCCCCAATGTGGTGTATGGTATTTGGAGGTTCCGCCTTTGGTAGGTAATTAGTTTTAGATGAGGTCATGAGGGTGGGGCTCCCGTGATGGGATTAGCACCCTTATGAGAAGAGGAAGAGAGATCGCTCTCCCTCCAGGCACACACACAGAGGAAAGGTCATGTGAGCAGGCAGAGAAGGCAGCTGTCTGCAAGCCATGAAGAGGGGCCTCAGCAGACGCCAAGTCTGCAGCACCTTGATCTCAGACTTCCCAGCCTCCAGGGCCCTGAGAAATAAATGTTATTTAAGCCACCCAGTCTAGGATAATCTTGTTATGGCAGCCCAAGCGAAGACAGGGATCTATATGATATACACGTATGCATATAGGAAGATGACTTTTGCTGGTTTAGGAGTGGAATTATTTGTGTAGTCTCTTACTGTCCCTTTTTATGGCTTACCTGGCATGACATCAATCATGGCAAGCTTAAAATGATTTTAAATTCAATTTTCTTTCCCCTTGAATGCCAGTCACACAGCCTATTTACAGGGAGCACTAAACAAAAATGGAGGAAGAGAAAAAAAGGCTCAATCAATTTTCCTCCTTGCTAATTGGGGATTTATTACTGGTTCGTTTGCTCACAATGGCAGGGAGCAGATCCACCCTTCGGTTCCTGGGCCCTGAGCTGCTAATTGGAATCTGAAGTTATTCTCTACAGGCGCCTCACAAAGGAACAGAGAGCTGAAGACAAAATGCTATTTTTATCTATTTATTATTTTCTCTGCAGTATGAGGGGAGCCTCCTAGAATGTGGTGGGCTTGTCCCTCAGCACGCTGCACTTTGGCGGGGGAAAGGGGGCTGGCTAATCTCAATATGCATTCATAGAAGAAATGCCCCCCTAGATTTGTGTTCAGTCACTTGTTCACGGACTCACAGATTCGTATTGTGATGAACTTCTGCTGACTCCCTCCCAAGCAGTAGCCCTGTGGGGTGGCAGACATCCAGGCTTCAGGGAGCTACCGTGTAGGAGAGAAACAGGCTCTCCAGCCTTGGGCGTGTTCTACTGGATGGGCAACGGGGACTGAGGCGGGCAGAGCCATCATCCCAGGGATTCAGAGAGGGTCATTTCTCTGAGTTTTGAAGGGCATATGGAAGTTCAGAGGGTAAAGAAGAGAGCAAGGCCATTCCAAAGGAGAGCCTAGAAGCCTGGAGATGCCACCTGGGGGGAAGTGAATGGCTGATGAGAACAGAGTATGAGTGGATGAACCTGGGTGGCTTTAGCACCCCCGTCCCTCCTAAGTGGCTTCAGTCTCCACAGAGAGAGGCATTAACAGCATTCAGCATCCAGGGCAGATGGAACCTACAGGGTCCAGAGGAGAGGAGCAGGTCAGAGATATCATAATGGCCCCCAGAGGAGACCCCAAAGGGAGGTTTTAAAGCCATTGCGTGGGGCAGGTTGAGGAGGGAAGAGTGATGTAGGGGGCTTGAAAGAGAGGCAGAGCCAGGAACTCAAAAGATGGGTGACTATGGGGGCCGGTGGAAGGGCCAAACTTGCTTCCTTTATGGATGGCAGGGGTTCTGCCCCGGGAGGGCTTAGACAGGCTGGGTGAGCCGCAGCGGAAGCACTCTTGCTGCCACTCAGGAGATTTGTGTCCCAGATGCTAGCTCACCAAGAACTGGAATAAAAATGGCCATGCCCACTGCACTTTACAGTTTACAAAATGCATTCCCACGCAGCACACCGTTTGAGCCGCACAACAGCCCTCAGACACAATGTGGCATCTGCATCGTGCAAATGAGGACCCAAAGGTGGTGACTTTGCTCCATATGGACCCAGCTCCCTCCCGCTTGTCCATCCTGCATCCTCAGGGGGTGCTTTGTGGATGTGCTGGTTAGCCCTCAACTGTGTGTGCTCCGGCCTCCCCTCCCCCCTCCCCAGAGGCTTAGGGCTGTGGGGTTATTCTTACTTCCTCTTAGAACAAACCACAAAAGTTGGACTAGAGTAACGGATCAAAAGATATTTTAAATGAAAATATAAATTTACAAAGGTTACAGAGAACTGGGGAAGAGGCAAGATTTGAAAACAAACGTTTCGGCTCTCATCGTGAGCCCTTGTGATGACGTCACACTGCCTTCGCGTGGCCTTGAGCGAATCACGCCACGCTCTCTGGTCTAGTCGGCCCACCTGTAACTGGAAGGGTTTGCGTTCGATGAGCCACCTGGTCGCTTTTTACCTGGCGTCCGACAGCCTGTGAAAGGCCGCCCCCTGGCGGTCCGCTACTGTCAGCAGCTCCGACAGAGTCCGTAAACTACAAGGTCAAGATTAACAGGCCACACACAGAAAAGATAATTCCCCATAGCACCACTGGTTTAATTGACAATAAGATGTCAGCCTGTTGGCCAGAGCCATTGACTCCAGTGTTTCTTCTCTGGTCGGGGAAATTCATCTGTCCTTAAATGGGTTCTAGAAGTCTGAGCTGGAAGGCATCTCGGGCACTGAGCATCTAATTCAGGGATGGCCAACGCATGGCACTCGTGTCACCTCTCCCCTGCTGCACACTGACAGACATCACTAATAGATCACAGCATTCCTCCCCACTGGACTAGGAACTAAACGCCCAAATCTTTCAAGACATGCTACTGCAGGCAGCCGTTAGCAATCAATTTGAGTCACTCTGTCAGATGAAAGCTGATGCAGTTAGGGTGCCTGGCTGGAAACAGAAGCCCCTCAGCTGGAAATGTTGAAGAGACTTTGAATGAAGGGTCTTTTTACAAGAGGGACACGAAAAGGGTTGTTGAGTCACAGACCAGCAGCAGTTGGGGGAGACACTGCCAGCCCTAAAGAAGAAGGGAGGAGAGGACTCAGTGTTAAGAGCTGGGTTCAAAGCTGGAGCCTAGAAGAGATGGATGCAGGCATGGTCATAAATGGTGAGCCAGGGCAGGGCACCAGCAGAGGAGCAAATACCCCAGCCTCTCTCTCCTCTGACTCTCAACTCCAGCCAGCCATTGACCAAATCACTCGGAAGCCAGGAGGCAGTGACACCTAGTGACATATTGCACTGTTCCTACCCAGCACCCCAGGACTCAGAGCAGGACAGAGGAAGACTGAGAGTGGAGAGTTCTGAACATGGCATGGGGAAAAGTCCTGGGGTTTGGAGTCTGTCCTCAGCCAGGTTCCCTAAAAGCAGAGCCTGAGACAGGCATTTGGAATCTCAGGACTTACTGAGGGAGTGATGCTCAGGAGAAACCTGGAAGGGAGTAAGGGCAGCAGGACAGAGGAGGGGAAGCCATTGAGCCTGACCATAGCGGGCAGAGGCCTCATCAGAGCTTCTCCTCCTCCCCTTCTGCAGGGGGGCTGGCCATTTGTGCTCCCTTATCAGCCAGTCATTGGCTACAGGCTGTCCCATGGGGAGGGGACATGCTCTGCCCATCAAGGACAAATGTCAGGAGAAGGGGACACTGGGGGGCCCTCAGTGGACAAAACTCAGGGCAGGTGGGGGCTTGGGTGCACCTGCCAGGTGAAGGGACCTGAGTGGAGCACCAATGCCATCCCTCCCAGAGGAGACATCAGGGTGCAAATCCAATCTCTGCCACTTATTAGCTAATTTGTAACTTCTCTGAGCCTCCACGTGGCCATCTGTAAAATAACCTTTGGTGTTGGTGTAAGTGTGAGAGCATCCCCAGTAAACAGAGCCCCGAACAGTGTAGGCTGGCACCTTCTTCCCTCCTCCCTAGACAATGCTCTTTCTTCTCTGACAGCCTAAAATGTAGGGTCATGGAGACCTGACCCTCGGGAAGGTGGAGGGGAGGCAGAGAGGGCAGTGGGCAGCCATAGGTTGCTCTTTCAGGAGGCAGCCAAGCCCAGCCATTGGCACTAGGACTCCAATCCCAGGAGAAGCAGGACTGCTGGGAACAAGGATTGGGACCCAGTGGATGGGATGGAAATCTACTGACAGGGCTTAGACATTCTTCCAGATCCAACCTCTAACCTCAGGATTACACAAACTGAATCATGAGATCAGAACTGATCCAAGGGAGGCTTGAACTGATGCCAAGTGTCCCTTGATATTCTCATGGAATCTTCCCTTTGTGGGAAGATGCTGTAATTGTAGCATTTAGCAAGGTTCATTGAAGGTAGAAGACACTGAACAAATGGCATTAGCAATCATTACAGCAAGTGGCACTCAGAGGGCTCCAGCTAATTTCTGGGGAAGGAACATTGCCGCAGAGGCTCTGTGAGTGCTATGGACTGAATTGTGTCCCCCTCCTCCAGTTCCTATGCTGAAGCCCTAATGCCCAGTGTGGCTGAGTCTGGAGACAGGGTCTTTAGGAGGTAATTAAGGTTAAATGGGGTCATATGGGTGTGGCCCTAATCTAATAATACTGTGGCCTTAGAAGAAGACGAAGAGAGATGGATCTGTGCTTCTCTCTCCATCACGTGGGACACGGCAAGAAGAAGGCTCCCTACAAGACAGGAGGAGAGTCCTCACCAGAACCTGACTATGCTGGGACCCTGATCTCAGACTTCCAGCCTCCACGGGTGTGAGAAAATAAATGTCTGTTGTCAGAACCACTCCATCTATGGTATTATGTTGTGGCAGCTCGAGCAGACTGAGACAGCCAGCGGGGACAAATGTGAGCCAGAGCCTTCCTGCTCTTACCATGGAGCAGGACCAGAGGAGTTCCTGCGTCTGTGCAATAGAGAGGAGGACATGGAGGAAGGAGTGAAACTTGTGCCTGTGGGAAACAGGGAAGGTGTGGGGAAGAGGAGATATTTGGGGTGCACCCTGAAAGATACGTAAACTTGATGCCTGAGACAGAAGTTGGAAGGCATTCCTGGTAAAAGAAATCACTTCAAGTTTGGGCAGGTGAGTTTTAACCTATGGTTGTTCTTTCAAGACTGAGGCATCATTCATCCATTCAGAACCATATTTATTGAGACTTACTGTGTGCAGGCCCTCTGCAAGGTGCAGGGGAAACTGAAGTGGCAAGAGTCAGTCAGTCTATCAGGAGAATCATAGCTGGACTCTAACTTCAGGGGGAGGAAGCTTGGGGTGGGGGCTTGGAGGCCATGGGGTGCAAGGATGTCAGCATTCCTTGGTGGGACAGTGATCACATAAAAAGACGCCACATTTCTTTACTGTCTCGTGGTCTATCTTTCATACTCCTTCCACTAACCTTTAGAATATAGAGTTTTCATCCTTTGCCACCTTGAATATATTAAAAAGGCTCCTCTAGAAGAACTTTAGTGGATGAGGCATTCAAGATGAGCTCTTCCATAGCAATGTTTATGTCCTCAGAGCATTCAGAGTATGTGATGGGAGAGGGAAATGGATAAACAAAACACTGACGTGCAAGATCATCAAAGAATAGGAGAACTTTGCAAGAAGCACTGGGGAAGGACAGGAAGGGTCTTCCACCCTTCTTGACCACTCATCCATAACTAACCTAGAGAGATCATGTCTTAGTTTAACGTGGGCAATGATGTGGTGGCTGGTGCGAGAGTTGCAGGGGGCTTGAGGGCTGTGGTCACAGCATACTTGGCAGAGCGAATAAAGAGCAAAGACATGGGGATGAGAGTGTCCTCTGCATCTGGGGACACAATGAGAGGTCAGCAGTAAGAGGTATTGGGCTGGGAAGGGAATCTAGGTCCAGATCAGAGAGGACCTAGCTTAGATGTTAAGACTTGATGCTGTTTAAGCAGGAAGAAGCCTAATAAAAGATTCATGGGTCAGAACTGCATTTTGGAAGCATCACCTTCTAGCACTAAGTTGAAGGCAGGTAAACACAATGTGTTGGCTTGAGGATAAAACCCAAGCCTCAGGTGCCTCGTGAAAACAAGGTCAGCTTCCTGATCTTCTCTCCTCTACTTCTCCACACTTGAAAGTACAGCTAAATCTGCACCCCCCCCAGATACCTTTTCTTCCTGCCACTGCTCTTCCAACTGAACATGGGAAATTTGATCCATTCTCTTCAACATTGGCAAGGAAAACGAGGCAGAATTTAAGGCAAAAACCCAAACTTATGCCGTCTGCCTTTACAGGAGAACTGGTGGGCTTCACTGTATGGGAGGTTTTTGCTGAAGATGAGTCTCTGCAGGGTTTCTGTGAAGGTCAGTTAAGCTCTGAAAGAAAGCAATTAATTTGTGAACTTCTCTGACTCATGTCAAAGCAACTCTTGATTCTAAAATGCCTTTAAGCTTGCTCCCCTGCCAATATCTCCATCCCAGTAAATGGCACCAACTCTAGTCAAAAACTTAGGAGACATGCCTGACTCAACATATAACCCCAATCACCCCCTGCTCGCTGTCCCCACCCCTAACTCTAACGCATTGCCACCTATCTATCACTTGTTCTCTGGATTCCACATTTGCCTCAGGAGTAAACCTGTGTCATTTAATGACTACTGAAATCTTGTGCCTGCTTGTGGTTGCATCTCACCTTCTGCTACTGCCCATCCCTATAACATACACACACTCACACACACGCGCGCGCGCGCATGCACGCACACAATGCCCCAACGATATATGACTGATTTCAGTGCTTTACACAAGCCATGCTTTTTCATTTCTCTCTCACTTTGAAGTTGCTGTTCCTTCCATCCAGAAAGTCTTTCCTTCCATCTAGCCCACTTGACAAACTCCTATAAATCCTCTGAACCCTGTTCAGCTATAATCTCTTCTGTGACACCTTCTCTGACCACCCAGCCCCTCTCAAGTTACCTACATAGTATATACATTACATTTATGTTTCCATGTTTACCTACCCAAGTAGACTGTTTGATCCTTGAGATCAGAAGTGGGCTTGGGCTGCTCCAAATGTCCCAGGGCCCAGAACCTAGCAGGTAATGATCAAGTGTTTATTGAACTGAGATAAATTAATCAGGGCCAGCACAGCCTGCACGCTCTCACACCAGGATCAACTCGGAGCCTAAGAAAGGGAAGACGAATGGTGAAGGAACCTTCACAGATGCCCATTGCAGGTTAACAGCAGATCCTAGGTAAGAACCCAGGGGTGGACTCCTAGTCTAGGGCTTGTTTCTAGAATTCCATGCTTTCCTGAAACATGGGGGTGTTGGACAGGCCTAAAGTCCAGCAGCACTCATTGGGTACAAGAATGTGCATGTAAATAATGGAAAATTATCCATCACTTATTTGACTATTTGGGATCGAAAGTATGCAAGGAATACGAGCATCCCGCAAGAAGTCTTAGAGAAAGGCTGATGCTGTAGAGTGCTGTAAATCTGCCGTTTCTCCTCTGTCTGTATTTCTTTACCTCATCTCATGGGAAAAGAGACAATTAAAAATGCTAAGTGGTGTTTGCATCCTTGTGTCCCTTTGTCACCTGTCCTTAAAGACTCAGCATGCTTGGGGTGTGAGTGTGTGTGCATTTGGAGGATTGTCTCCATTTTCCTCGCATCACTCAAGTCCCTGTATGGTTAATTAAAAGCAGTGGCACCATCTCTACTGTGACATGGCAGGATCCCTTCTCTACAATCCATCATCCTAATTAGCAAGGAGAGAAGGGATTTGTCTACTTTCAATTTGCATGTTCTAAAGCCAGAGAAATTCACAGGAGATGGGCCTGGCTGAATCTGGCATGAAATTCTGTTTGGAAAATTGTTTGCGAATTTTGAAACATGGTCTTAGGGTTGTTCTGAGGCCTCTTGTGTTATTTCAACTGATAAATAAGTAATATAACATCAGTCTCATTTATGAAGAGAGTACCAAGAGCAGATACTAATTTTAGTGCCTACCGAGGGCTTTGACAGGATTTCCCAAAGTGTGTTCCAAGAACACTAGTCCTTCAAGATGTTCCTTGACAAAATGACCAGGTACCTTTGGCATATGTGGCTCACTATAGACTCCTCTTGGAGACTTATAATATCCAGTAGACCATGAGAACCTCCGAGAAGTTCTGTAGTTTAAAAAAAAGTAAATGAAGTTCAGACTTATTTGAAAATGAAAAGAATTCATTAGTGGAATACTTCATATAACAGTTCTATGCCACACAATCTTTATTTATAAAAATACCCAACTAAGTAGCTACCATATTACAGATGAGGAAAATGAAGAAAGACTGACCCTGGAAATTGAACCCACTTCTGTTTGTCTCCAAAGTCTGTGTTCCTAGTCTCCACAACCCCATGCTAGTAGCTAGGATGTGGTCTGTGCCTACAAGGACAGTTCAAGTTCAAGTTTGCTCCTCACTTTCACCCTCACACTGTGAGGCTGCTCACCAGGCAGAGACACTAGGAGAAGAAGGGAAGAGGGCCAGGAAAGAAAAGAAGCAATGTTTGAACATCTCTGGGCACCAGACACTGCGCTTGGCCCAGAATGTAGAGATGCAAAGATGTTGGTCCCCATGCTTAGGTGCTCACCATCTAGAAGTAGAAAGAAATGAACCACCAGCTTGTTGTAAAAGCAAAGTCTTTGGAGCCAGACAGCCCCGAATTCCATTAAATGCCTACTATGTGCCGGCCATGTTCTGAGCACAACCATTCTAAGTTTCCAAGGGATTCTGATGATTCTAGAAAATTCCAAGCCCCGACATTCTAAAAATAGTACTTATGAGTTCTCTGAATGTTAGCTTTGGTTCACAATGCACAAGTCTTTCATGCTAGGGGTGCCAGGTATCCTTGGAGCTTCATCAGAGCTGCCTGGCCATCTCTCTGCATTCAAGGACATGCAGAGTCCAGGCCACCTGCTCACATTCAGGAGAGAGCATAGGAGAAGTTCTGAGAAGGGCCTCAGGTGACAGCCGGGCACAGGGAGGGAGGCTGTCCCACATCCACTGGGATCTGGGGATCCTTGTTCAAGCTCCGTGGACAATGTGAGCAAGGGCAAGGCCAGACTCCACCGTATTAATCAAGGCTGTCACTTTAATGGAAGCAATAAAGTTATTCCTTTGTTAATTGATTAACTGATTCACACCTAATTCCATTTACCTTTGTGCTCATTCGGCTTTTCCTTTTTCCATATGAAAAAGGGGTGATAATACATATCTTGATGGGTCACTGTCATGATAATTGACAGGGTTTATGAGGGCCTGGCTCAAGTTCTGGCACCAGAAAGTACTTGATAGATTTGATATTATTGAAGATTTATACCTGTTAGCCCTCCACTGTCTCTCGGTGTCTGGCTCCAGCCGTCACTAACCAAACTGAGTTTTCCGTAAGACCCCAAACTTCTTGCTGGAAGAGCTATCAGGAAAATGAAGAATGCTATGCTACCCCCACCTAGAGTGACAGAGATGGGCCCGATTTGTCCTGGACTGTGGGGATGACCCAGGAAGTGAGACCTTTAGTTCTAAAATTGGAGCAGCCTCAGGCCCAGTGGGGTGAGTTGGTCACCCGAGCCCACCATCAAATGCACTGAAGAACCAAAAATACAAGCCATGAAGGGACCCAATGTCCTGTCTGAGTGTGGAGAATATACCAATTTCTCTTGATCTGCAAAAGTTAAGACCTCTGGACGCCAACCTCTGAATCCCTGTCAAGTGCAGCCCTGTCTCTAGGGACAGAGGTTAAGACTGAGGCCACAGACTCTGGAGTCCAGTTCTGGTTCAGCCATCTTGGACAAAGCACTTGACTTTTCTCTGCCTCACTTCCTCATCTAGATTCAGTTTGCTAATATCTTGTTTCGGATTTTGGATCTCTATTCAGTAGCCTGGCCTGAATTTTTCTTTCTTGTGCTGCCCGTGTCTGGTCTGGGTATCAACTTTGTGTTCATTCACCTCACAAATGAGTTGGGGATGAGTTATAGTCTATAGAAGCATTGGATCAAATGGGAATTATATATACATTTCCTCAGTGCTTGGGAGGACCCAACTGTAGAGACATTTGCATCTTATTTTTCAAGAAGTTTTTCATTTTGTCCTTTTTTTTTTTTTGAGGAAGATTAGCCCTGAGCTAGCATCTGTGCCCATCTTCCTCTACTTTATATGCGGGATGCCTGCCACAGCATGGCTTGATAAGCAGTGCATAGGTCCACGCCTGGGATCCGAACCAGCAAACCCTGGGCCACCAAAGCAGGGTGCATGACTTAAACCACTGTCTCAGGGGACCCGCCCCACATTTTGTCCATGTTTTAATTTATTGACATATGGCATTCATAATAGACTGTTACATCTTTATGTCTTAGCATTTGTAATTATGTCATATTTATAAATATTAATAAATATGTGATTATTACATAATCAAAATTATGTAATTTTGATTCCTAATGCTTACATTTACCCTCTATCATTTTTGTCTTGATCAGTATTATCAGATGATGTCTAAATTATTAGTACTTCAAAGAAATAAATATTGCTCTATTTTATACTCATTTTCTTAGTCACTATTCTCTAGTCTTCTATTTAGATATTTCTAATACATTAGGAGGAGGCAAGGGACAGTTGTCCCTTTTCAAAACTTCTTGATGCTTAACTCATCAGTTGTAAGGCTTTCTTTCTTCCCCCAACATAAAATACCATGGTTTAGTATGTAATACTTTAATTATTAGCAAAGTACAAAATATTGGCAATTTTCTATTATAATTTCTTCTTTGAACTCTGAGTTGTTTAGAACTTCAGGTCCTTTTGAGGATGTGAGGGATATAAGCTATTTGCTCCTCCAGGTCTCTTCTCCATCCCTCTTCCACCCTCCTCTCTGTCCTGCAAGCTGACCTATGTGACCTGTAGCAATTGGCTCCAGACGCACTGGCTTCTCGTTGAAGGAGCCGAGAGGGCTGAAGGAGAGTGAAGTCAACGTGTTTCCTCCAGGCTCCTTTTTCATTCATTTGTTTCCTTCAGAGCACATATTACACCTGAAATTAGGCTGCTCACGTTTCCTACCTAGTCATTTGTTTCCTGTCTCCCCATGATAAGGTAAGTTCCATGACAGCAAAATCTCCCAGCATCAAGCCCAGGGCCTGGCATGGATTGAGAGCCCCTCTGGTCCCCGGCTCCCAAAGGTCAGAGTTGAAAGAGCCTTTCTAGATTACTGAGCCTAGCTCCTTCCTGGTACATCTGAGGCAACTGAGCCCAAACAGGCAAGAAGACTTGTCAATGGTCAAGTGTCTCATTAGAGGCAGAGCCTGGACCCACAGGCAGATCCCGGGGCTCTTTCTGAGATAGCACAAGGCCTCTCAAAAGAAGGCCAGAAGGGGAGTGAGGGAAAGCCCGCACCTGGACACAGCATTGGGAGACAGATGTCGTTGTTCTCCAAGCAAAGGTGGAGGACGTACCAGCATACCCGAATCGCTGATTCATTGTCTTCTCCTAAGTTCCACAAACAGCCTCTGATTTCTTTGCTTCACGTATCAAGCCTGCACAGACGGTCAGTTAATTAAATGAGGCCACAACAGCCAAATGGCCTGGAAGGTGTCCGTTCCCACTGCCAAACCTCTAACTTCTTTATGGCTGGGATTTTGAAAATAGAATAAACAAAGTTTCCCAAGAAGCTGAGAGAAAGCTATTTTCCTGCGGTCAAACCAAAAATGCAGTGACTGCCAGGGAGGAGTCACGGTCGCAGAGCAGCCAGGGCCACAGACAGTTGTCTTGGGAGTCGAATGCCTGCATTCCATTCTGCTTTCCTCCTTGGCTAATCCTCCAGGGTCCAAAGCCAAAGCACAAAAGAGAAACACATCGACCTGTTGAAATAAACCACTGTGAGCTCTAGCAGGGAGGGAAGACCAGCAAACATATCAAAAAGTTTAATTCAGTGTGCTTCTAAAAATATTTCAGACTCTCCAAGGAGGACCTTTCTCATAAGCCAATTTTTAAAAACTCATAATTTGTTTCAAAGTGGTTATTTTAAAAGGACTGGAAGCACTTGACCTTGAATCAGAAGTGTGACTAAATGCTACCTCTCTCTTCCCACACACCCTGCAAGTGACTCCAATAGGTGTGTTCATCCTCTGTGAGTGCCGACTCTGCTCCAGGCGCTTACTGCTCCACATCCCTCATTCTCAAAAGGAAGCTGAGGGGAAGTCCCAACACTGGGAACATCTTACCATTTTTACAAAACTCCTTCTTGAGTTTATTTCACATCATCTTCTTACATAAGCACAGCAATTACCCGTCTCATTTTAAGAGGAGGAAAACTTGAGGCTCATGGAAGCTAAAAATACCTGCTCAAATCTGTCCAGCCACTAAGCAACAGCCTCTGAATTTGAACCTCACCTGGGCTATGCATTAGCCTGGGGCATATCATCTTGGGTCTGTAGTTAGCTGAGTGTGTCTTTGTCTCCTCTGTGCTTATGTATGTTTCTTGAGCTAACGTCTCATTTACTTTTCTATTGGCCACTTCTGTCTCTGTGGATGGTACATGACAGGTGACTCACGGTCCTATGGTTAAAATGTCTGCATGCTTGTTTGAATGAATGAATGAGTGGAAATTCATCTCAATGGGGAGACTGAAAAATAATGACCTTATCCTGGCTTTGCTGTGTGACTTTGGACGGCTCACTTCCCCTTTCTGGTCCTTGGTTTTTCCACCTGTAATGTGAGTTCTTTAAATCCCGTAATCTCTCGCTTCCCTCTTCACGCCGAAGGTCATAGTGTGACGTAGTGTAGCAAAAGAGAGAGTGAGATCTCTTCCCACACTTTAAAACTGAATCAAAGACAGCTGGAGAGAAAGAGGAGTGAAGGTTTTTTGGCGTCAGGATCCTGAAGTGAGCAGGCAGCAGGACTGGCTACACAATCTGTGGGACCCAGTCAAAATGAAAACGCAGGTCCTTTGTTACAAATTTTCAAGACAGCAACAGCAGAGCATTAAACCATGTGCAAGGTCTTCCGAGCACGGGGCCCAGTGTGACTGTAGAGGTTGTGCACAGGTGACGAGGCCATGTTTAAAGCCATAGTTTAAAGGCACAGTTCTTGCTAAGACCCCTGGGGGACTTGTTTCCCCTTTAGGAACAAGGACCTCTAAACACACAGAATCCAGAGTGGTGGCATTGGGGGGATGGTCAGCAGGGCCAGTCCTCTTTCCCCATTGGTTCCCAGCCCCTTGAATCCGCCGAAGGGGTCACTGCACCACATAATGGTGGTTGATTTCGGCAAATGATTTTCACCTAAGGGCAATTTTACTCCAAGGAACATTTGGCTACGTCTGGAGACATATTCGGTTGTCACAACTTGAGGACGAGTTGCCATTGGTATATAGTGGGGTGGAGGCCAGGGATCCTGCTAAACATCTGACAATGCCCAGGACAGCACCCCTGCAGCAGACTTATCCAGCTCTAAATCTGAATGGTTTATGCTAAGAGTAAAAAATCTTGACTTAGGGTGTATACTGCATCCCTGATTGAACGAATGCAGCAGGCCCCTGGATCTTCGCTGGTCTAACTTCCACAGTATGGAGTACACGTGTCTTATTAGGCCCCTGGATCTTCGCTGGTCTAACTTCCACAGTATGGAGTACACGTGTCTTATTAGGCCCCTGGATCTTCGCTGGTCTAACTTCCACAGTATGGAGTACACGTGTCTTATTAGGCCC